ATGTACAAAAACGTAGCACACACACTGTTGTATTGAGGCTTGATGAGATGACTCCCCTGCTGATCGCCGTTAATAATTTCATGAATTGCATAAGATTTAGATTTAAAAAAATAGTTACACATTTGGGAAATTGCAATTAGCCTATCTGCTGTTTTTGCTGGGGTTTAGATGAGAATATAGATGACCCTCTTATGTGCTCTAAATATGTGGCTATAGCCAGTTAGCTTAGCTTAGCTTAGCATAAGGTCTGTAAACAGGGGGTAATAGCAAGCCTGGCCTTTTCAAAGAACAACATATGCCAGCCAGCACCTCTAACGGCCACTATAGTTAAAACTGTGTATCTTGATTGTTAGTGCGTTCAAAAAACAAAGTGTACAAAAGACACACTGTGGTTTTTGGGGGTTATGCGCGGGACTGTTTCTTGGCTGGGTGCAGCGACTATCTAAAGGCTTCTTGTCACGGTGAGGAAACTCCAGCAACAGAGCGAGTCTTTGTGCTAAGCTAAGCTAAGCGGCTGCTGGCTGGAGGTTCACATGTAGCATACTAGGACAGAGAGGTAGGCTATCAATCTTCTCATCTCATCTAACTTTCAGCAAGAAAACAAATAATCTTATTTCCCAAAATGTCCAAAACTACTTCTACTTATTTTGGATCGTGTAAATTGTGCTGACTTCGATATAATAAAGATGCTCTTGTTAGTATTTAGACATATTTCAACAAAAAAGTGCCTTTGCCTTAATGTTGAACTAACTTTTGTACCACTCCTTTCACAGTGACTTAGGTGGGAAAGTACAAAATTGAGCTCGAAAAATAAAATGACTACTCGTAAAGAATGAGGTCACTTATTATTGAAAACTTTAATGAAACTAAACTAACATTTTAGTTAATTTTAATTTGTTGAAATGTAACTTATCATTTGTGTAAATACACAAATCTGCACTCTCTTTACCCTCCATTCGGACAAACACAAGCATGGCAACAGGGTCCTTCCTGTAGCACAAGGGCACAAGATACGTAATGAGACCCAAGGGTGGTTCAGCATTGCGTAACAGCTGATTCACCCCTCTCTCACACAGACGCCCGCGCGCACACACAGCAGTTATTCCTACTGGCCTACTTTCATTTCCAAAGTGCACAACTTCCTTGTGGCCTATTTTTAACTGCTTTACGTTGTGATGTAAACCCGTCAGTATAATGTGTGTGTGTCTTAATGAAGTTACTGCAGTCCGCATATCATTGTTGTACACAAATCTGTGGCAGTGCGCTCACACGCGGGCATCACTGACCTACTTTACAGCGCTGTGGAGGACAGAGGCAGCGGGGATGGAATGGGTCACGGCCGGCAGCATAACTCTCGTGAACCGCAGCCAAGCAAGCATGTTCAGCAGAGGAGTCGCTTTCCTCCTCCAGGCGTCCTGCAGGCTTGTACCAAACTCGAGCCCCATTCATGGTGGTCAAAATAAAATACATGTTTAGATTATGAAATTGTCATTTGACCAAGTGTTACTTAACTCTTGGAAATATATGCACTGAAACTAAACACGTACTGCGAAACACCTTTAAGTGTAAAACAACACAAATGTAAAAGAACTTGCTGCCTTGAAATCACAAAGACACAGAAGTGAATCCACAGCAACACATATTTATTCTATTACAACAATAATCACCACCGGAACTGAAGGATGAAACTTCAGAAACGCATCTACGGTTTACTCGGTCTGCTAAAGCTCACAGACACTCTGGATTAGCACCATGTCCAGTCATGCTGCAGAGCGTTTAATGATTGATTAACTGCATTCCAGAGTTACTTGTTCTTTAACTGGAGAACTCCAGTGACTATTATGCATGTGTCTGAAACCTGTGTATAGTATTATACACTGTTAACATTATTTAGAATTTCTTATCTAACAAACACAACAGGTCTTTGATCCTAATCTTTGATTTGACTTTCATTGCATGTTGGTGCTAATATGCTTTCTTTTGATGATGACATATTTTCCTTTCACGTCTATTTGCATTAGAGGACGCAAAACCTTGTTCTTTAACCTTTATGAGGATTGGATTTTGAAAAGCAACCATCTGATATGCACACTCTCCGTTAATGTTTAAAGCTGGGTCAGTTTAGCTTCATTGGATGATGACTTTCTACGGCGTCAAGCTTCTGATGATTTCTCTCTCAGCCTGTGAATTTGAGTCTCCTTCAGCAGAGATGTCTGCAGTGAGCGATGGTGTTGGACGTCTGCTCGGCATGATATAGCCTGTACATCCTGTGTGTGTGTGTGTGTGTGTGTGCGTGTGTGTGTGGACAACCTGCTAAAATGACTCAAACCTGAAGAAGTGTGAACACACACTGATACAACACACAGTCTAGCACACTCTCCAGCTTCATCCTCCTTACCCCATCCCTGCCTCTCCCTGCTGACCTACATACTGCAGCATCACAGTTACATAACCAGCCAGTGTTGATCACCGCAGGCAGCGCAGGGCAACCCCCCCCCCCCCCCCTCTCTCTCTCACACACACACACACACACACACACACACACACACACACTCCTTGTTATGACTTCCCAGCTTTCATTGACTTCCTCGCACAGTACGAAGTTAAAAATCCAGGGTCAGACACCTGATACACCTGGATTCTAATGGTGTGTGTGTGTGTGTGTGTGTGTGTGTGTGTGTGTGTGGTGGTGGTGGGGGGGCAAACACTGAGACAACAATCTAAATTAGGTCAAACTAAAATGTTCAAAGTTTTTGTATCCAAAGGACAATTGTCAGCTGGTTACGTCTTGAGTCGCTGCCGTATGAGAGACATTTATTAAAGTGGATGTTTACAAAGCTACAACATTCCCAGACCCAAATTCCAGTAAAACAAAAATAGCTAAAACCATGAGAATAAGCTTCAGTCGTTCATCCGAGGTCATTAGAACCCATGAAAACAATAAAAATGATCTAGGGAAATGTCATGAAGATTTCCGATAGATTATCCGATCAGCTTTGAGGCAATAATCAGTCTGTGTCATTTATTTTTAAGTAAATGTCAGTTTGATGCAAACGGATACATCGATATAACCTGTGTGTGTGTGTGTGTGTGTGTGTGTGTGTGTGTGTGTGTGTGTGTGTGTGTGTGTGTGTGTGTG